TGGGGGATTGAACCGTTGTCCCTGTGCTTTGCTAAGCTTGTTCTAAGTAGGTGCTTTAGACCACTGAGCCATCTCACCAGCCCTGCATTGTTTTTCTCAGCACACATCAATGGCTCTCTTTTACAGAGATGAAGCCTTTGTGTGAATTTTCACTTCTAATATTTACTTCCTATAAACAGCCTGGGGAAAAACAGTCCCTCCAGCCTTACCAGAGGAGCTGTAGCTTGCACATCCATATAGAGAGGTCTCAGCCCTGATTCTGCCTCAGAGGCAGCAGCTGCATCACAGTGGACAGCCGATTGGGGAGCATTATCTATAACTGACAAAAAATAGCACACAGTGGTCAAGGGAGAGAATGTAGCTAAGGATGAACATAGGTCCTAAGAGCTCAATGCTGAATGGAGGTGAGATGAGACATTTAGGGGATGATGGGATTGAATCTCAAAGGGAAAGAGCAAGCAGCAAGCGCACAAAGAAAGTGCTAAGAGACAGAACCAGGTTCTTGGAAGCAATCACTGAGAGCAAGGTTCAAATTGTCTTGATGAGAGAGGGGATCACTCTAAAGGGAAAAGCTATTTAGAAGTAATATGAAGACATAGCAGGTGAAATCGCCTTCGACGGTTACTGGACAGTCCAAAGCCTCGATCAGCATCTCTAGCAGCCGGCCAAGAGGGAGCAGAAGGATGAGCCCCCCGGGCTCTGGGGGCGTGTCGAGAAGGACATGAGAGAAAGCACGAAGGTGCGGGTGAGAAGGGTGAGAGGGTCTGAGAAGTGGGGCGGGGCAGGTAGGCTCAGAACAGTCCAGTGCTTTGCAGCCCCAAGGAGCAAAGTCCTTGCGTCCTGGGGGTGGGGTGGGGTGGGGTGGGGGGTAGAGGGCCAAAGCAGGAGCGTACCACGCAGGCGCAGTCCCCGATTGGGCACCGCGGGCCTCGGCCCTGCAGCAACCGTCACCGACAAAGCCGCCCGCCTCCAAGCGACTCGTAACAGCATGGTAGCAGCGGTGGAGCCCACCGCGCAAAGTGGTTGCAGTCTTCGGGCCCAGGTCCCCGGAAGTACTGCCTCGCGCTCCGGAAGTGATCCCTTGGGCCGCGAGCGCCCTCCGGCTCCTTCTCTGTGAGACGTAAGGCTGAAGTGCAGAGGCCGCGAGCGAGGTGAGGTGGGGGCGGCCCGAGCCCGGCGGTGTCGCGCGACGTCGTCGGGTCTTTACCGCGAAGAGGGTGGTGGAGTTGGTCTACGAGCTAATTTGCGTAAATTGATTTTCCCGAAACCTTGTGCGAGCTTCCCGCCCCGCCCGGCTCCGGGGCAGGCGGGTAGGCCCGCACTCCCATATTCTTTGCACTCCACAGATGCCGGTGGCCGTGGGTCCCTACGGACAGTCCCAGCCAAGCTGCTTCGACCGCGTGAAGATGGGTTTTGTTATGGGTTGCGCCGTAGGAATGGCGGCTGGGGCGCTCTTTGGCACCTTTTCCTGTCTCAGGTGAGGGTTGTGGGCAGTGATCTCTGGGCGGGACTTATTGAGCTTCTCCAACCGGAACTTCCAGAGCCTACTTCGGTCCACTTACCGCGCAGTCTTTTAGCTAGCAAAACGGGTTACTTTACTGCTTTTAGATTGCAAGCGTAGTTGTTTAGGAATCTGAACTGAGGAGGCAGAATTGGGTTTGGCGACTTTAGGCAAGTTGGAAGTTACATTTTCTCAGGCTAACACCTGTTTTTCAAAGCACTAAATCAATGATTTACAAAGAATCTGCCACGTAGGAAGTGCGCATAAATGGTTAGTACTGCTTTTGCTGCTCATATTTTCTCTCTATTGCGCGTAAAGAAACAAATTTGAGGGGGCCTGGCCCTAGCTCAGTCCTTTAAGAGGCTGCTTCCACAAAGCTGTCAGCCTCAGGTTGCTGGAGTTCGATCCCCACAACACTCCAGCCAGCCAAACCTGCCCTGAAGGCATTCGGAGCCAAAAAAAAAAAAAAAAAAAAAAAAATTGAGGACTGGAAATGTAGTTGAGTGGTACAATTGCTTCCCTAGCATGCTGGGGTCCTTAAGTTTGATCTCCAGTACCGGGATGGGGAGTGGAGATGAGTAAGGAGAAACCTGCAGCTGGATGTGGTGGCTCGCACCTGTGATCTCAGCACTCGGAGGCCGAGGCAAGATCAGGAGCTCAAGCTAAGCCCTTGGAATTTAGTAATTTAGGCAGATCCTGTCTCAAAATTAAAAAGAAGGAAGACATTACTTAACATTTTAAGCGTGTACTAGGTAGATAATCTAGTTCCCAAAGTAGTCCATAAGTATTTTAAAGCCTGCTGTAAATTCCAGGCTATTTAGTGAGATCTTCTCTCAAAAAAAAAATTTTTTTTTTTTTGTGCGGAACTGGGGACTGATAAATGCCAGGGAAGTGTTTATTTCACTGAGCCATCTCCCCGGCCCCTCTCAAAATTGAACAACCTAATGTAATTTTCCCTGGGTCTATTCCCATTTGTGTGTGTTATGGAGCAGGGTAGTAAGGTTGAGCAGCAGAGGAAAAACTCTAGTGGACCACATGTGCCCTTCTGGCAAAAGCAAGAGTCAATGTCTTTCTTACCATACCTCCAGTAAAATTGAAGGCATCTATATTCAGCGTAACCTAAAGATACAGAAGGACCCTCTTTTGTCATTGCTTACCTCTGGTGGGGAGGGGTAACGTCTGACAAGTAATGAATAAAAAAATTTAGACTTTAGTAGTGCTTCTCAGAATTTTTACAAATAGGGTGTTAAAATTGTTTTCTGTACTTTTGCTCTCCATTGGTTCCACTTTGGTTTCCTTCTCAGGATCGGAATGCGGGGTCGAGAGCTGATGGGTGGCATTGGGAAAACCATGATGCAGAGTGGTGGTACCTTCGGCACATTCATGGCCATTGGGATGGGAATACGATGCTAACCAGGGCAGTGGTTGCCTGCTACATCTACACCTTCCCATCCATCCCAAATCCTGTACTATAATAAAAGTCTTTCTTCTCATTCTGAGTCTATTGTTACTATCCAGTTTGGCCAAGGACTTTGAATAGATGGGCTGTTGGAATAGTGGTGGTCTTACTGCTGTTAAACCAAAACAGAAAACTAGAGGATAACTAGTACAACTATCTCCTAGCTTTTTTCAACTATGTGATTTTATGAAAGGCACTAAATAACCCAATTTCCTCCAAGATCAGAATTTAGGTTTTTAGCTATACCATCTGTTGTACATTGCGATGGTTCTTCTAGCTTCATTAAACAAAGTACTATTTATCACCTTAATTTTGAAACAAACCACTTTTGTAGATTAAGAAGGCAAATCAATGACTATCAGCCCTCAAGCTAAGAACTTCGAGGTTGCAGTTTGTCCTAAACTTCCACATGAAATTAACCACTTAGGCAACTACATAACAGAAATGAAACAATCGGAAGTTATAATAGCTAGATTTTCCACCAAAAATAACCATTTTGCAGTTAGCTATGTTTTTCATTAATAATCAGTTTTGTGGTGAATAGTTTATTTTGGTAATCTTTCTTTACACAGATGAGATTAGCTACCAAAGGGCATGTATACTTCCCTACAAATTTTGGGGTAGAGAGAAGAAATCTTTTTTTTTTAATTTTTTTTGTTTGTTTTATTTGTTTGTTTTTTGTTTTTGCGGAACCGGGGATTGAACTCAGATCCTTGTGTTTGCCAGTCAAGCGCTTATCCTACTGAGCCATCTCCCCGGCCCCGAGAGAAGAAATCTTTGTGGATCTTTTCCCCCATAAACATTTAACTTGAACCCTCAAACCTTTTCTCAGATTATAAAGTTACTGGGCTGGTGAGATGGCTCAGTGGTCTAAAGCACCTACTTAGAACAAGCTTAGGAAAGCACAGGGACCGCGGTTCAATCCTCCAGCACCACATGCCAGCCAGCCCCGCCCCCTGGTGGGCGGAGCTGGCCACAAACAAATTAAAAAAAAAACTTATAAAGTTACTGTATTTGCAAATCTAGTTGGAAATCACTTAGTAAAACCACTCCCAGACATCTCAGGAATATGCCTACAACATACCCAAGAACCCCAAAATACTCTTAGGGCTAAGGACTGTGGAGATAGCTCAGCAGTCTAAGGGCCTGCCTGGCAAGCACAAGAACCAAGGCACATTCTACTGGGCCTTGAAACCAGGTGTGGTGATGCATGCCTGTAATCCCAGCGCTGGGAAAGCTGAGACAAGATCACTATGAGTTGGAGCCGTGTACTATAGACTTTGTACCAAATGAATATTTTATTTTTTTGCAGAACCAGGGATTGAACTCAGGCCCTTGTGCTTGCCAGGGAAGCACTTATTCCACTGAGCCATCTCCCCAGCCCCAAATGAATATTTTAAAGAGATTTATTTTAAAAAGTCAAAAAGAGGGCTGGAGAGATGGCTCAGTGGTCTAAAGCACCTACTTGAAACAAGCTTGGCAAAGCACAGGGACCTCGGTTCGATCCCCCAGCACCACATGCCAGCC